AGATGGGTCTCAGTCAGAACCAGCACAGCAGGAATACCCTTGCACTGTGCACAAGATGAATACAAAAGAACAAATAGCTCTGTGGTGGTTGGGGGAGACTCACAATGAGCTGACTTCTCTGTCTCTTCTCTTAGGTTTGGGTCTTAGTTAGGGTTTCTATGGCTGTAATAAAACACCATGAACAAAAGCAAACTTGGGAAGGAAAGGGTCTATATTAGCTTACAGTTCCACATCTCAGTCCCTCACTAAAGACAGTCAGGAGGACTGCATAGCAACCTAGAGGCAGGAGCTGATGCAGAGGTCATCTACAAGTGCTGCTTATTGGTTTGCTCTCCATGGCTTGCTTGGCCAGCTTTCATAATCCACCCAGGACCACTAGCTCAAGACAGTACTAGCCACAGTGGGCTGGGCCCTCCCAGCTATCATCAATCAAGAAAATGCCCAACAAGCTTGCCCAAAGGCCAATTCAGTAGAGGCATTTCTCAATTGAGGCTCCCTCTTCCCAGATGATGCTGGCTTCTGTCAAACTGACATAAAATTAGCCAGCTGACCCCTTGTCAACCTGACACACAAACAGACGACTGTTAAGCCCTAATTGTTCAGCTGGGTGGTGGTGGTGCAAGGCTTTAATCCCAGCACTTGAGAGGCAGAGGCAGGCAGATCTTAGTGAGTTCAAGGCCAGCCTGGTCTCCAGAGTGAGTTCTGGGACAGGCTCCAAAGCTACAGAAAAACCCTGTCTTGAAAAACAAAACAAAAAAGCCATAACTGTTCCATTCATTCATTCATTCATTCATTCATTCATTCATTCATTCATTTTGGCTTTTTGAGACAGGATTTCTCTATGTAACAGTCTTAGCTGTCCTAGAACTCACTCTGCACAGACTGGCCTAGAGCTAAAAAATTCACCTGCCTCTGTCTCCTGAATGCTGAGATTAAAAGCGTGCACCACCAACACCCAGCAACTGTTCCTTTCTTATTGGTCCGTTCCTAAGATCTCATATTATTGATAGTATAATATAAACTTTTCAAACTTTAAAAAAGCTTATTTATGTGTATGTGTGTATCTGTTGTCTATGTGCCTAAGGAGACCAGAAAGGTGTCGGCCCCCTGAAGCTGGAGATCAGGCAGTTATGAGCCGCCTGATATGGGTACTTGGGTCCTCTGTAAAAACAACATGCACTCTTAC